GAGAGAGAGAGAGAGAGAGAGAGAGAGATATGTACCTCTGACATGGCAATGTCCGAGTAATGCGCCTCCTCCAGGGTGTCCGACATGGCAGAGCCGGCGTCCGAGGACGCTGTAGCGCTGCTTCCAGCCATGGCGTGATGGTGGTAGCCGTAGCCCATCTCGTCCACGTAGATCGGCGAGTGCAGGCGCGGCGTCTTGGCGGCGCGCGATTTCTCTTTGACACGAGCGCTCGGCGACTTGGCCCGCCGCATCATCTCGCGCTTCACCTCCTCCTTCGTACTTTCACTCGTAACATTGCGCTTGGACATCACTGTCGACTTGTTATTCCCGCCGGCGAGTTCCGCCCCGCCTTGGGAAGACGCCGCACCGCTACCGCCGCCACCGCCGCCAAGAGAAGCGCCTGAGAGACTGTCGCTCCCCTCGACGTACCGCTTCATCATCAGAGCGCCGCTGCTCCCGCCAACACTGCTCGTACTCCCGGCCCGCGACCACGCCGCGGACTCACTCGAAGGACTTCTGTGTCGCGGGATCTTAGAGGCGCGTGGCGTCGCCAGCTCGGCCGCGACTCGGGCGTTGTTGGCGTCAGAAACCACCGAGCTCTGTCGGCTGTCTGAACTGCGCGTGCTGCTCCCTGACGACGCCAAAGGGTCCACGCCGCCGCCAACGTCTATACTGGCGGAGAATTCCTTCACCGAAAGCACTTTACTCACGTTGCCAGGGTTAACGTCCGAGTGGTGCCGCCGCGCGGGTTTCTGACTCTCGCGTCTGTAGGACTCGCGGCGACCCACCAGCTGGAAGGCCGTCTCTCCTCCCGCACCTGTCACCGCCGTGGTGGAGCTGGTCGCGGCCCCTGATTTGAACTCGAGGTCATCCCTGGCGGGGCTCCTGGCGGACAGCGGGACGCCAGGCAAGCCGGGGGAGGGGCCGGGGGAGGGCCTCTTGGGAAGCGAGCTGTGCAGTTCCATACACAGGCGGATGGCCTTCATCCAGTTGTTCCGGATTCCGGAGGTCATGGCCGCCAGCACATACTCGCCGTTCCTAGTCTGTGGAGTGGAAGGGAACGTGGGGCAAAGACAGCGAGGGGAAAAGGGTGGTGGAGGTAGGCGAAATGACAGTGACGGGAATGGGGCGGGGAAGGTAGTCGAAAACAGATCGAGGAGAGGGGGCAGAGTGCGTTGTCTATTAAGAGAGCGGGGGGGGGGGGGGGGGGGGGGGGGGGGGGTCAACACCCCTTTCTGATTCAACACTGATAGTTTATTTAAGAAGTGGGGACCTCCGAATTTAACGCCCATCTCCCTTAGGGCCGAACCACATGGGTTGAATCTTGTTAACTCCACAAAATGACTTTGGTTCAAGAACACCAGTCGGGGATTCGAAGCATGGCGGTACGCTCCGTGGTCCAGCATGATACCAACTGTGTTAACGAGGAGGAGGGGATAGGAGATGTAAGAAAAAACAATTGGGGAATTTGATGAGGAGGGGGATATGCAGGTATCATGGCTGTGAAGCTTTGCTCTGGGACTCCCAAAAGAACAGAAGATATTTAGACACAGCGAGGGCTTAAACACAGATATTGGGGGGGGGGGGGGTGTAACACTCGGGTTGGTGAGCAGTAACATCGTAGTTAACTCCGTATCAACACAATAATGGATACAATTTTTCAAGAACAGATCAGTATGACAGCATAATTAAAAAGAGGAGAGCACGCTACACCACAGCGTTCACCAACCAAGGCCAGAAAGGCGAAGAAAGCTTGCCTGTCAAACGCCAGTGAGTACTGTATGAGATACATGGAGCCCTCATAGCACATATTGCCGATAAGTGAACCCGTATATGCAGCTGAATACTACACAATGACGACCTATGGCAACATTTGACGTACTAACGAACACACGAATGAATTTTTCATGACACACTGATATTAAAAGTCACATGTGTGCATTTACCACGTGCCAACAAACTAACAGATGAATGTGGGACACACACCTGTTGGTCTTTTTTGCGACTAACAGATAGAACATGAAGGCATACTGCTGAAAACAAACACTCATTGACAGATATATCTGAGCGCACAAAACAAAATGCATATCTACACACACTGGCAGTTGAATGTACACATCGTTTAATTAATTAAGTGAAGAGAAGCACATCGACGCGATAGCGGTCATTTAGTGCGGGAAAATGAAAGACAAACTGAGAGAAACAAAGGAGGGAGAGAAAAGAAGTAGGACCTACCAGTGGTAACCTCCTACCACCCACACACAAACACGTGCTGAACTCATGACTGTTTTAACCAAAAGAGAAGAGCACATCTAATTGAGACCAGTAAATTAGTCTGTGCTTGGACCTAGCCTACGTTCAAGAGAAGCCCGTCAACCACAACAGTTCATCGACTGATCAGGAGAAGCAAGGCAGATAGACAGAAGATGCAACAAACGGGCGCCCAGAAGTGGGACCGCCACTGACACCCTCCACAAATAAATTTTAATGATAGATAAGGTGAAGAAAAAAAAAATGAACATAATATTGAGGACAGAAACGGGCATTTTTGCCCCTGGACAACAAAACAGTACAATGACTTATCACACGTTGTCTCAAGAGAACAGGAACTTGGCAGAACATGAACACAGAAGTAAAAGCCCGTTGAACATAAAACGATGTGCGTGGGGATTTTCAGCAGCACAAGAAAAAAAAAAGGCGTAAGTCACGATTTCTTTAACCAATAACACACACACACACACACACACACACG